TGCAGATGACAAAGAGGTAGTAGTGTTAATGAATGTTAAAGGTCTATTGCACAGCCCAGTGGCTATCACCCAGCCCCACTCAGTTACACACCTCATGATACACCATCTATAACCACTTCTCTTTATCCCCTCCAGAGTTCAGCTTCCCACTTTGGGAAGAAAGTAACCAACATACATTGGTTTTACTGTCAACATGCCTTATCACATTTTATTTTCTTAAAAGGTAATTATGAGACCCCACAAGAATATTTCTATTAAACCGTGGCCAAAGTACAGCCTTATGTTCATAGCTAAAATATTTTTTCTTTTTTGCGTCTTAAGATCAAGAAATTGTTTTTTAATGGAAAGAACATAGACTTTGATGACTAGTTTGAATCTTTCCTTTACCACTTGGTGAGTTTTTAACATGGAAAAGTGGGTTAACTTTCCTGAGTCACATTTGTCCAGATAATTAAAATAAAAAAAAAGAGCGGCACAACATTAACACAATTATCTGATTTTTTTGCACGCTTAGTAAGTGCCAGGTATTATTCTAGTTGTGTTTATACACTTTATGCCTTTTAATTCTTACAAGGATTTGGCATACCAGGCACTGTCATTCCCTCTTTACAGGCAGGAATCTGAAGACCAGAGAGGGTAAAGTAACAGGTCCAAGGTTGCCTAGCTCATAAATGATGGAACTGGCACTTAGACCCAGGCCTGTCTGGGCCAGTGCATCTGACCTCTCTACCGTCCTTCAGCTGTATGAAATAGGAATGATACTATTAATAATGTCCATCTTGTTTGATTTTTATGAGGATTAGAAATAATGTGTATGGAGCTCCTGGCAGAAAAGCTATTCCACAAGAGGCCCTGAACAAATGGTAATCATTGTTATTTTTTAAAAATCTCCATAAGTGAAAGTGACATGCCAAGACAGGTAAAAATGAGCACCTCAAAGGGAAAAGGTAGGATATGCATTCTACTCCCTTCATTTTGTTCGTTGGTTTGTGTGTTGGCTTGGTTTTCTTCTTTTCTAGTAGACAGAGGTTCTATTTCAAAGAATGTGTCACATTGTTTCTTTGATGATGGCACAAATGATAATCAGAACATTGGTTGGAACAGCTAATGTGCCATAGTAATACATCTCAAATTACAACAAAAATTAAGTCTGTAAAATGAGAACTTTTAGAATTTTTATTTATTCAGGGTTTACTGTTATCTAGAGAGCTTTGTTAAACTCAGAATTCCTGTATTTGTGATTTTGTTTTAAATTCAGGACTGTAGGAGAAAAGATAATGGTGCTAACTTTGAATATTAACTAGCTATTAGTTTTCCATGAAGCTTTTTTAAAAAAAAATTATTTATTTAGTTATTTTTGGCTGCGTTGGGTCTTCGTTGCTGCACCCGGGCTTTCTCTAGTTGCACAGCGAGCGGGGGCTGCTCTCCGATGTGGTGCACGGGCTTCTCATTGCGGTGGCGTCTCTTCTTGTGGAGCATGGGCTCTAGGCAAGCGAGCTTCCGTCCTTGTGGCACGCGGGCTCAGTAGTTGTGGCGTGCAGGCTGTAGAGCGCCGGCTCAGTAGTTGTGATGCACGGGCTTCGTTGCTCCGCGGCATGTGGGATCTTCCCGGACCAGGGATCGAACCCATGTCCCCAGCATTGGCAGGCGGATTCTTAACCACTGGGCCACCAGGGAAGCCCTCCCATGAAGCTTTTATTAAACAAATAGTTCACTTAAAGGGCTGTAGCCTTTGAGCTTGAGCCAAGTTTCCCCATTTCCAATTTTGCAACAAAAATTTCACACTTCTTTAGTTACTCTCGTGGCAGGAACTGGAATGCCAAAGGTCACCTTGATCTCAGATACCTTATCAGAAGAAAACTAAGTGTAGATTTTTGTTTCCCTTTAGTCTTTCCTCATGTTTCCTTGACAGAGTCACTTCAATACACTACAATACAAGCTGCAGTTTGGGATCCGTATTTCATTTTCCATTGGACTGATTTTCTTGTGTTAGTCATTTGAAGATATCTGGGGTGTTTGTTATTGTCCTGTTAAATTAAAAGCTATTTTCTTTAACAAATGTGTAAGTCATCTTTCTGTTTACCTAGGGTATGATAATTAAAATTAAGTGGATGTGAGCTTTTCTTATTGAATTTAGTATGTCTATTAAATACCTTCCTGCAACCCGTACTTTCAAGTCCTTTGAGAGATTGGGAAAATAGTTGACTGAAATAAAATAATGAGGCAGCTTACTGGTCATCCAGGTTACTAAAAATTAAAGCATTAAGGATAAACTGAAGTGATCACTCTGTTTTCACAAATATCATCCTGTACTTCCACCAAGATTTTGAAAGAAAGTAACCATTAAGTAGTAGAAAATAAAGAGTAATTGATAGTTGCCTATCTTGAGCAGTTGCTTTGACCATTCCATTATTGAATTTTCTTATAACTAAAATGTGGGGGACAGGTTTAAGCTAAATCTTTGATTCCTTCTACTTTAAAAAATATAATAGTTCTATGTGATATTTATTTATATCAACGAATATATAGAGCACTTACCTTAAAAATAACTTCCGAATGAGAAAGATGAAGTATATGAATTAAGAGGGAATAACATTGTACCTGATCAGTTATAATATGAAGAAAATTTATAAAATATACAGAAATTGCCTTTTTTAAGAAGCTATAAACAGTGTTCGATTTGTTAACAAAGGCTTGCGCCTTATCTAAAGAATCTTAATTTGGCTACACCAGAAAAATAGAAATTGTGTGGTATGATGTAGCCTAAAAACTTTTTTAACCCCATAGATACTCTTTTTCATGCAGGCAGTATTTCTGAATTTGGGATAAGTGTGCTTATTCTCAGATCTTTGTGCATGACCATAATTTACGGTCCAAGTAGCCTCCTTATATGAGCAAAATTACCAAAGATTTGTCTTTACCTCCCAAAAGAGGTATCAAATAATTCTACCCAGATCTGGGAAAAAGATGAATCTTGTTAGGTGCCATCAAATGGTATGTATTCGATGTACTTATGTAATAATTATACTACATGTTTAAGGGTAATGTAGTAGAATATGTAATTAAAATTATATATTATCCTAAAAGAATTTATTTTGATTGTTTTAAAATAGAAGGTGATTTAATAATGTGGGAGAGTTTATTTTCAGTTTTATAGTAAATATATTGATTTCTGAAATTTGGGATTAATACATAGTATATTTAGCTTGTATTAATACCGACTGACCGGGAACCTGTCAGACTAATAGTCTGTAGGTATATTATAGTTGTTTGTGCTCATTCTGTCATTACCTTTCCCTAGAAGGTAATATTTTTTTCATCTTTTAGCCTAATCTCAAGACCTCTAATACATTTAGTAGTATTTTCCAAACTGTTGGTCAGTTGTATAATTCTCAAGGAAATACTGGGTTTTGCTTGATAAACTTAGAGTATTGATTTGCTTTGGGGTTCCTGGCTTACGTTTTATTCTTTATCCCTAAAAGATACATGAAAAAGTTTTCCCCTTATCGTAAGCCCTGTAGAAATAGAATCAAGGAGCTGTTTACACATTTAAAATATGACTAAAATTTTAAAATCAAATGAAATCTAGCCCAGGAAAAATATAGGGCTTAGATTCTTTCATGACTTAGGAAGAATCCTTGTTTTGTAAAGTGTGCAAGGGTTTTTCTGGTTTATTTCTGTTTTGTTCAGTCTCCAGGACCTCCCAATTTCAAGGGCACTGTGGGGCATATGTAGCATTTATTTGATGTATGCATGTGTATGCATATTCTCCCGCATCTGTCTCTGTGGCCCTATCCTTTGTGAAATCCTAGACCTTGTATTAGCGCCTAGTTCGTGATTCTTGGTGTTCTGAGAACAATTATATAATTTTTCTCAGGGTGTTTATTCCATGTGCGCTGTGAAAAAAAAAAAAAATGGGAGTTATTTTTTGGTAACCCTGCAGTTGCCTTTTTATTGGTGGATTTCTTTTTTCTTTTCCTGTGACCTGTGAATATCACCAGAGGTTCACTGCCAGTTTTGTGAGCCGCCCGCTTCAAATTGGAGGCAGGAAGGTATCCATTTTCATCAAGAGGATGACAGCGTCTCAGTCTCTCCGACCATCTGGAGAGAGGAACTTTTGGAGCAAAAGGGAACGGGGATTAAAAAAAAAATTATATTTAGCAGAAAAGGCAAGGGGGAAACCCAGTGAAAGTTAAACTATACCTTATGAATTTATGCTTTTCTACTGTGCTGTCTTCTTTAAAGCAAACATAAACAAGAAAATACACAAGCTATTTTTATAAAGGACCGGTTCCCCAAGTCTCCTGAGTATTAATAAACGAATGTAAGTAAATTAGGATTTTGGCAGTTTTTAAGTTTATTGAACATACAAAGATAATAAGAGCTATAAATGAGGGTTTTCCTCCCCCTTCCTGTGTACACACTGATTGTCGGGGGTCTGTGTAGATCTGGGCTTTTAATGGCCCTTTTCATGCATCTCTACAAAAAGCTAACACTATGGGAATTTAATATTCCAAGATCTGTGTGTCACCTTCTGAGATCTGGAGAGTGCATTCATTTTGTCTGTCTTTTTTGTCTCTCTGTCTCTCTTTCAATTTTAATTGAAAGGTAGACAAAACAGGAGAAGCTTGAGGCAGGTGTTTCTCTTTTCACCTTTTACACGCTCATGGGCCATTTGTGTTAAAAAAAAAAAAAAAGAATGCTTAGGCTCCCAGGACAACCCTATGGGTATTATATAATATATTTACAACCAGACCTAGTTCTCAATATTCTTGCCCATAACTGGAAAATATCACACCTGGTTTTCCATTCACACAAACCTACTCGGCCGTTTTTTGATTTTCTGTATTCGGAAAGGGGCAGTGTTTCCAGGGTTTGGTCGGATCTAGGATGGACGTGGTAGAAATTTTGCCTTTTGTGCCTGCTTCTTGTAAAGTCATGGACCTTGAGATGCTTTGGTCCAGGCAGCAAGCAAAACTAAATGGGCTCTTGTTCCCCAGGTTTATGCTCCGTCAGCCAGCACTGCCGACTACAATAGGGACTCGCCAGGCTACCCTTCCTCCAAACCAGCAGCCAGCACTTTCCCTAGCTCCTTCTTCATGCAAGGTAAGACACCACCTCTTCCGAAGGGAAATCCACGGGTCTTTTCATGTCATATATGGGACAGAAGAGTGCTGATCTGTTACTCAAGAAATGGAATAGGAGGCAAGTATAGAACACTGAAGGTCACGCTCTGTTATAGGAATTGAATTCATTAAAAATAAATTAATTAAAACTTCACTAAGACTTATTTTTTAAGTGAAAGCCACTTGAGAGATCATGAGTTAAGATTAGACTGGTTTGCTTACTTAGAACAGATTCTTCTTGGGGAATGGTCTTCCACGACTGATCTCTTCACTTCCCGGGAAGAGTATGTTTATATGTTTAGAAGAGTGTGTATTTTAAGCATCCCGGATTTAGCCTCCTAGGAACAAATTACCCTCATATATACCTTTATATAAAAATGTTGGACACTTACAATCACTTTTCGGCCTTTTGGCTAAGATCAAGTTTAGTATCTGTTCTTATCAGTAAAAACGTTGGCCACTTATTAACTTACAGGTAAGGACAAGTGTCCCATTGAAGATGAAGTGACCTATCTAAAGTCAGGAATATTATTTCATTACACAGCAAAAGCTCTATTCCAACATACTGACGGATTGAGGGCCCAAGACCCAGCTTTTTTCCCAGAAAAATATAGAAAATTACAGGTTCGTGGTAGATAAAGTATATTTAATGCATTTAATTGTCCAGTGTATTTAATTCAGTGCACACGGATGTGTGTTCCCCGAGCTTATAATCTCACCCCTGGTAATACAGCTCTTTCTGCTGCTTAGAAAAGACCAAGGTGGTTGAAATGACAGCAGCCCCTTATGAGAGGAGACCGTCCAGAGGATGCAGCTAAGGCTCCATTCCCTACACGCCTGGGACACTTATTGTCAAAATGTGATGATCTTGTTTCCAGGTTAATACTCCGAAATTCAGATGTGGGATTCACCAAGAACCCCTGTATGCAAACTTCACCCTTTTTGCATTGGCAAAGTGCCCTGGGATTTCCTTCTTCGTGCTCCTCCCGGAAGGACCATGCCACGGGAAGGGGAGCCACTTGGGGCAGTAAGCCCCAGGGAGGTGGCTTGGCATCTCCCTTAGGTTACAGTGGGCATACCCAAACTCACTCTGTTTCAGAGGGCTTTGTTTCCTTTCCCCTCAGGGTGTTAGCTCTTTTGAGTTGTTAGTTCACATGTGAAATTCCATGGAAAATCTATAAAATTGAACCGAATGGGTCCCCCGGGAATAGAGAGAATTGGTTCCACACGTAATGGAGCTCCTGTTGACCAGGGTCTTTTATCTTTGTGACCTGTCCTCGATGTCCCTTTCTCTCCAGGGGAGCAGCAGGTATGTCACTTGGGTGTGTTCTGTGCCATGACGAAAGGTGTATCCCCTTCAGCTATAGATAGCAGCCACTTGGGCACCAGCGCCTCTCTTTTATGACCAGTCAGAGAGTGTGTGCTGCCACTACCGGTGCTTATAGAGATTGCCAGCTCAAGGACTCCTCACTCAGAGCTGAATTTCATTGAGAAAATTGACAGAAGGATAGATTTCTTCTGTCTGCCTTCAGGAAGGTCACTTGCTTAAACCGTGCACACTGCAAGGAAAGATCAGGTTGAGTAAAGCAGTAGGCTCGTCTCCGTAGCAGACCACGCAAAACAAACTACGGGGAACAAATTTGCTTTTCTGCATATGAATACCCAAGAAGCAAAAAAAAAAAAAAAATGTTTTTTGAGTTGACATTTATGATGAGCACAATTAATTTGCACACATCTAATTCTATTCTTTCAAACCCACATTATGCCAAGATCATGGGATGTGATAAATATTAATTTACTGTGAAAAGCATAATTTATGTAAAATGTGTATTTTTGTAAGTCTGCATTGAGTAGAGTGTCTGTGTTAACAAATCCTAAATGTATTTCCTCGTAGGGCATCATGTCAGAATGTTTCAGGAGACTCTTTTTCAATGATAGAGATTCTCAATTTATTTGCCATGCATGTCATCTCTTTGAAATGTCAGTGGTCTTAAACTTCATGTTTGAATTTAAGATGACATCTGAACTTCCACAATCTCAGAGCTAAATCTGAAGTACATGAATAAGAACTTTTTAAAAAAGTCCTATGTTTTTACGTTATGATCACAGAAACAGTACGTCGTGATCCCATTTCACATCAGTGTCCTTCAGTAAGGGTCCACAGTGCCCTGAGAATTCAGGTCTTGAAGAAAATACAGTTTAGATGCAAGATATTCAGAGACTGTCAATAGCATATTTTATTTTATGTTATTTTTTTAGTAGCATATTTTAAACCCACTGTTGTGTGACCTCTTATTTTTAACTTTAGCTTCCACCTTCTAGTTGAAACTCTTTAGTTGTCAAAATCACAGACATGATTTTGCTTTCATAGTTCTTAAGACATCTCTGGATTATTCCTTCCTGCCCTGAAACCATTCCAGTTTTATGAATTCTAACTTCTGGGGTGAAAAACTCAGGGAAAAAAAGGCTTTATGAAATACAGTGTCAGATTTAACTTGCCTACTGCCTACATTTTCAAAAGGCCTTTATTAAATAACGTGTGAGGTGAAAATACTCTTATTTTCAAGGGAGCAATGCCTGCCATACAATTAACACCTAGCTGATGGCCTTGTATATATCTGGCATTTAATAATTTTTGTTAAACTATTGAAGGAAAGAAAACTTGAACTGAGCAGTAACATAGATGCTCTGCTCCCTTAATTTGAGAAACCCAGACCAAACAATAGCAATCTAGTAGTAACTTTGAGGCCAGTAGGTCCAGAGAGTAAAAAAAAATCTGTAGGAATATTTTTAATATGGTGTTAATAAAAGATTAACTTGGTATTAAAAGATACTTCATATAATTTCCATATAATTTTAAACCTCTTTTTAACACACAGTTTTATAAAATGCAGAGGCTCTCAAAATTGTCCTTACGGTAATATCTACCTTACGACATGTGTGTACCCTTTCAATTGCTACCGAAGGCTTAAGATAGCTATTTAACTATATACCAAAATACAAACATTTAAAAGGAAGTCAAAAACTCAGAACTATATGCATGAGATTCCTCTTCCCTACATACCAGAATGTAATTCCAGCTTTAATTCCATCTACTCTGTGTGCCACAAAAATGAAATCCAATCTGAAATCAGAGATTTTTTTTCATTATTACTTATTTCTTTATACACTCTCAAAACTTGTAAGCGTGCCAACCCTGTAATATCTCAAGTGTTTTATTTTCACCCCAAAATTTAGGAACAGTTTAATTTTTAGTTGGTTCTCATAGAAAAAAAAAAAAAGGAGACTTCTAAGAAATGTTTTCTTTAGCATTAGCTACCTTGCTGTCTTGACATAGTTCTATGTAGAAATATGTTCTGTTCTTTTACAGTTAAATTTTTACTAAGAACCCTTTAACTCCGTTAAATATTTATATTTGTTTGGCAATATAGAGCCACTTGGGAAAAAATAATGAGACTGCCTTCTGATATAATCAGCTCACCAACACAAAGATGAATATACAACAGGCAGTCATTTTCCAGGATATGAAAACACCCTACTCTATAAGGCAAGGCTGAATGCCTCAGAAAAGTCATGGTTTTCTTTGTCCTTTACAGATGGCCATCACAGCAGTGACCCTTGGAGCTCCTCCAGTGGGATGAATCAGCCTGGCTATGGAGGAATGTTGGGCAATTCTTCTCATATTCCACAGTCTAGCAGCTACTGCAGCCTGCATCCACATGAACGTTTGGTAAGGCAGACTCACTTGGTAATGGGGACAACACAGCTAGTTTATTCAATCTCATCCTGTCTTTGCATGCATGTACACATGGACTCTATCGATGAATGTAAAACTGGCACATACCCGTTATTCTTACAGTTGTATTGTTTCTGCAATCAAAGACATAAACTCAATCAGATCACCTTCATAAGCCATATTCTCTGTCGCTGTTTTTCTGTTTATTGCGTTTTGTTCTGTGCTTTCTTTATCACAGTGTCATCTTCCCTTGGTACATAAATACATATTGTATTTGAGTTGCAGAATTTAAGCTGTGGTGGTTCCTTGGGGTTTTTTTTGTTTTTTTTTTGTTTTTGGTTTGGGGTGGGGGGTTTTGCTATCTGTAGTACTGAAGGATATACTGCAGGGGGCAGAGTGATAGCCAGTGGACTTTGAAAGTAGGTGATAACACATCTCCCACGGGCATTTCCATTTCCCCTTGGCCGGCTTCTGTAGCTGGTGACAGCTTTGAACTCTTGTACCACACCTGAAGGAAAGCGTTCATGTTTCCTATACACTCCCATCAGTAACAGCAACCATGGGGTTTCTATTTAGATCAGAGTCCCAATTTTCAGTATTTTAGCTATACTTCCATACCCTCCAATACTATACTCATCCATCCTAGTATGTGTCTTTATTCTGGAGGAAGTAACGCATCAGATGTTTTTCTAACCTCAAAAACTACCACAGCCCAGAACCCACTGATGAACTTAAGTCTATCACTAAATGGAGGAAAGAGTACTTCTAGATCATGAAGGTTTGGGATGCAGATAATATGGGACCCAGTATCTTGCGCAGTAAAATGGCTTTAAAAAAGGTATGAACCTCTAATCTTCTAAATGCAAAAGAGTATGAAAAATCCAGTTAGTGGTGCTTATATTACTACTCTCCATCTTGCGATGTGCTCCTTTTTCTTCTCCTAATACCCAGATTTATGTTTCTTTCTCTGTTCTAATATAGGAGATAGTACTTTCTGGATTTCTGTGGTCTTTATTCTCTTTTGCTCGGCCACCAGAGATATTGAAAAGATGACATATCCTATTCTGATGACTGAAAACATCCCAGAGGTTAAGATTTCCGATATCCTTTCAAATATCAATTTAGTTAGTCCTAGTGACAGAGACACTGGGAGGTCAGTTAGCTTAGCCTCAAATGAGAGATAAATGATGGAGATGGAATTGACCTTTTTTAAATCATCTCTCAAGTTTGAATGTGGAAATCACAATCTATCTTAAATTTCAGCACATCTTCAATAGATCGCAGATGCTTTACTTTCAAATTTCTTCTTCTTCCACCTCCTACTTAGAGTCATTAGCATGAAAGCTTAAAGAAATAGCACTTATTATTATACTAGAATTTCTTCTTGGCTAACATTTTTATTTCGCCATCATCATTTTGCACTTCTCTAAAGAACCCATGATCAAAATTGTGTGTGTCCTATATAGGCAAGGAAAGTTTTGATTACAAATAAAAGACTTCGGCACTGTACTATATGTTGGAATTTCCATTTGACATTTACTTTTCTTTGCTCCTGTATTTCTTTCTTCCTTTATCATGCTCTAGAACTTCGACTTAGGTGGTTTGATTTTTATCCCAATCGAGTTCACTGCATGGGGGAAGCATGTTGAAAATGCACTCAAGTGCACAGAAAATGTAATTTTAAAAAGGAAACCAACTACACCCTTTTAGAAAAGTTTGCTGAACCAAAACAATATTATCAACCAGGAGGAAAGATCATTTTGAAGGAGTAACCCAATAGGTTGTATCAGATGCTATATTTATCCATCTCAAAACAGTTTTCATTCTTAACATGATCATTTAGCAGATCTTAGAGATGAGGGGTTTTGTTTTTCAGAAGGGCAAATGAATTAGGTCTCTGGTAATGCATCCTGATGAATTTTCTCACTGATAGGGAAACTATTGAATGATTATATCTAGTAATCATTGTGATTTCAGTAACTATTCAAAATTCTCTTGCTGAAGTGACTTCTAAAAATCTGAGAGTGATTGAGAATCATTTGAGTATACAGTAGGTGGTTAGTTACCTTTCACTTAAAAGTAATGGTAGTTCCTTAAAATTTTCATCTGGAGGGCTTCCCTGGTGGCGCAGTGGTTGGGAGTCCGCCTGCCGAGGCAGGGGACACGGGTTCGTGCCGCAGTCCCGGAAGATCCCACATGCCGTGGAGCGGCTGGGCTCTTGAGCCATGGCCACTGAGCCTGCGCGTCTGGAGCCTGTGCTCCACAACGGGAGAGGCCACAACAGTGAGAGACCCGTGTACCACTAAAAAAAAAAAAAAATTTCATCTGGAGCTTTTGCCCAATTCTATACTGAACAAAGGAATAGTTTGAGAAAAAGAAGAAAGCTTTCCTTGGATTACTTTGGGTGTAATTTGGCCAAATTAGTATGTCTCTGAAGGTAGCACATTTTAGAAACATTATTGCCTTTATCACTTTATACTCTGTTATAATAGAACATGTAATCACAAAGCTTAAAATCCACATATATCGGTAGCAACTGTCAAGTCACCCATTTTGATTCTTTAAATCCCCTGAGCAGTTTCAGCCTCTACAACAATCCCACAGCTAATCACTACCATGTCACAGATACACATGCAAAATCACTCAGAAGAATGGAGTTTGTGGTTAAGCTTTGGGATGCGCTGTTGTAGAAGGTTTAAGTTTGGAATGACTTGGCAGAGTTCTTTTCAAAAATAGGATAGAGTCCCTGCAGTCTGGCATGGCTTAGGCATGGTCTTTGTACCACAGAGGGAAATAGTCCTGGGAGTCTGGAATTTTAATATAAAGGAAGTGCTGTTGTCGTTCATTGTTTGTAACATAAAGTCTTACTCCAGTGACTCTCACTGGGGGTGATTTTGCCCTACAGGGAACGTTTGGTGATCTCTGGAGACATTTTGGGACGTTACAACTCGGAGGGGCGTGGTGCATATAGGTGCTGCCGGAATCTAGCGTACAGAGACCAGGGATTCGGGAAACATACTACAATGCGTAGGAGGAACCCCCCTACACCCACACCCAACCCCTGCCAAGCAAAGAATGATCTGGCACAAAAGATCAACAGTGCCAAGATTGTGAAACCCTGCTCTAGCCCAAAGTTTGACTACGTTATTCTTAGTATGTGCTAACAATTATATTTTCTACTTTGTGAATTATCAACCCATAGGTTGATAAAAACATCACTCATGGAAACATTTTCAACACTTAATCTGTCAGTAGACTCCAAATACACTATAATTGGGTATCATAAGTAAAAATAAATAAACAAATAGTGGGCATGTAAAACCATAACACTTTGTCATACTTCCCCTTTCCTTTGCCTTTGTGGCAAGCAGGGTAGACAGTATTAATAGCTGAAGTAAGAAAGACTAAGGGGAGTGCTTATAGTTGATCCCTAAATACTCTTAAAGAGACATTATTCACATATCACTAATATTTTCTGTGGTGTTTTTATTACGTCTTTGAGTGACAGTAGTTGTCAAAATCGTTTTCTTTGTAAAATAGTCTAGTTATAAATCTCATTAACTTCTTTCAGCATCTAATTTTCTATGAGTCTCTAAAAATTACTGATTTACATGGATTGCATTGGTTTCCCCATTAAAATCTGTGGGGAAGAACTTTTCTCTTTATTCTCTGAACTCAGTAGTAACCCTTTGTCAAATCCTGAATTACTGCACATTTTACGCCAAGTTGAAAGGGTCTAAAAGTTCTCACTGATGCAGTAATCTTTTTCCTGTCTCATCCTGTCATTATTGTAGTTATTTAACTATTTTTCAAAATGCTTTTTCCTCTGTTTTGATTTTTGCAAGCTTGGGACTGATTTATAAGGTTTCTCTATGCTTCAGAAACTCAGCATGGAATAGGACTGGGTAGAAATGAAATCAAACCATCTTTTTTTACTTTTCTTTTTCTTTTTCCATAGTCTGTTTCTTTTTTCCACATTATTATAGTCTTTAGCTCTCAAGCAGAAATAGCTCTTCTAAGTTTGGTCTTCCATGGCTTATCCAGTTTTTTAGGTCAGTCGTACTATGGAATGGGCCCACTCTATCATTCTTTGGAGAAAATTTCGTGGACTACGTGGGGTATTCTGTAAGTGCCAAGTAGAAATGAGTTTAACAGGTGGCCTAAGGAATTTTTGGTCAAGCAAAGATGTCCATGAAATTTTAAAGTTTGAAAGGCATTCTTGGGAACTTGGAATGGTTTAAGGGCATCATCCCAACTTTCTCACTGAAGTTGTCCTTTCCGTTGGACTATTTGGAGTGTGCAGAGGTAATATTTTCAAAGGCATCTGCCATGTCATTGGCAAACTGACTCCAAAATGTAGATTCATTTTCTAAACTGTTTAGTTGTCTCTCAGATAAGTAGCATTTCAGTCCACTGTTTATTAAACACGAGCTGGTAACCTGTTGTTCTTTGTTCTTTGTTCATAGGATGAGTGTGTTTAGCACTCAGCCACAAGTAGTGGGATGCGGAGCTATGAGCTGTATTCCCTCCCCTTGAAGAGTTTACAGTTTCGGTGGAAATGCTCTTGAAAGAGAAAGCATGGAAAAGCAACATTTAATTAAGTGTTTAATGGCGCAGTGCAGAATGTAAATGCATTAGGGATTCAAAGAGACGAGATTATGAAAGAGTTGGAAGTAGTAAGGGACCCTCAAGGAAGAGATAGAACCCAAGATGGGCCTCACGAAATAACTAGGGGATCCCAAGACACAGTGTGTCCACGCTTTAATCACCCCTGACTTTCAGCATCATATTCAATCTCTTAATTTCAGCAGAATCTCCAGTAATGATATAATAAAGATCCATAGCCCATTAATATACTGCATATAAAGAAAAAGTATTATATTTTAACTTAAATATTTTTCCTTTACATGTCTGTAATACATTCAAATGCCTATGAGAATAACTTTTTAAGCTACTTTCTTGTCATGAAAAAGAAAATAGCTCCATTTTTGTAAATAACCATGGTTTTGTACGTAACCATGTCTCTGTTAGTGATCTGCTGCTTGTACAGCACTTATAGGCACTGTGAGATGCCCCAAGAAAAGCAGCTTATTTGGACACTAGTATGATAGTCGGACCCAAAGCTAAGCCTTAAAGTAAATGATTCTGTAAAAGGCGATGTTCTTTTTTCATAGTCAACTCTGGCGTATTGCTAAGGGAGAGGACCTATAAAGAAAGAAGTAAAATAAGTCATTCTCCGTTCGTTTGTTCCAGTGTAATTCAACACAGTCATTGATGTAAGGCTTTATGTGTTAATGCTTTAGAGAGATATTTAGTCATTACTGCTTTTAAAATTTTTCATTTACCATTTTGTTCTTGCTGGAGTTCAGAAAGATGATCCAGTTTGGCAGAAAGAAGATTTGAGACTGGTTATTCTTGGTCAGTTTGTATTCAGAAGGTCAGGATGAAGTGTAATGTAAACGCTGTGGGTCATGGTGGTGTTTTATTCATTATATTATGGAATCTTTCGTACTTGAACAATAAGCCATACAGAAAAATAATAGTGGTGGTGGTCTTTTATGTTGCTGAAGTCCTAGACATGCCTTTAAGCAGTAATTTTTATATTTAGAGATCGTGATCATTTCTCAAGGTCCAGCATTGCCATTATATTCCTCTAGATTTGATGCAAACCCAAACCAACTATGCCTTTGTATTTTATTATTTGAAAACTGAAAGCTGTCAGAGCTAAGCAAGATGTATTCTTGGATATTTTGAAATTCCGAGGGCTGTCTCCATTGCAAAGCGAAGAGTTCTGAAAGAAGTGTTGGAAAACTAATCCACCAGATGTTTTGTGATTAAATATGGCCTCCTTTTTCTGCTTCTTGCCACAGAGCTATCCATCACACTCCTCAACAGACATCAATTCCAGTCTTCCTCCGATGTCCACTTTCCACCGTAGTGGTACAAACCATTACAGCACCTCGTCTTGTACACCTCCTGCCAACGGAACAGACAGTATAATGGGTGAGTCTTGGAAACGCCAGTTCTGTTGCCGACAGCCAGTGTCAGGGTTTAATAATCAAGGACCTCTCCCCACCCCATCACTGAACAGTAATCAAGCAATGGATTTTTATCACATAACCAAATGAACAGACAGATGAACCAAACACAAATTGTCATTGGCTTGACTGTAATCACTTTTTTTGTCCCAAGAAACTGAAATTTGGCCACTTTCTCCATTGTGAGTGATTAGATCGAATAAAGGTTTAAATAGACCAAAACCACCTTGCCTCTCACAGTCTCGAACAGCTAACAAAGTGAACTTTAGTAAGACGAACCATTGAAGATTAGTAAGATAGAAGGCATAATAGCTCTAAATAGGAGTTATTGATCGCTTCTCAAGTTCCAGTCACTGTGCAAAGCTTTTAACCGTAACACACCACTGTCTTCTGAAAACTAGCTCATGTGACATTTATAGATTGTTATTAACAACTAGATGGCTTCACCTTATGGAGACTGTGGCATCGTTGAGTCCTCCAGAGGGGACGAAGTGTTTGCTGACTTATGGGAGAGGAGATGCCTGGGCATCAATGGGCCAGGAGTTATTTGCTGCTTTTTCGCAGCAAATTCACTGATAAGTTACGACCCAAGCAGAGTGCCTCTATCGAATAAACTGAGCCATCATCTTCTCAATTTTCATGATGTCCATTATGGTCCGCTCCCTAGGATGGATGGTTAGCCCGTCAACTCTCTTCTTCTTGAGGGAAGAGCCAGGCAGGGCATGCAGCTGCCCCTGGAGGGAGAGTCCGGGTTAGCGGTGAGGCAGCCACCACCTTCTGATTCTGCCTCTGACAACCCTGTCATTCAGATGAGTGGCACAGCCTGACGCTTCGGGGTCTTATTAAAACCTCAGACTCCCGTTGGCCGCCACCTCCTCTGGCTGTAGCTCAAACCCACCCCTAGCTCGGCCTTATGATCACTTCTAGTGGGTCCAGTTACTGATGAGCGCACTAACTGTACATTTTATAGAGAAGACTGTATGACAGAAGAATACTGCTGTTGAGTCTCCTCAGCTCTTCGCAGTTTTTTTTTGTTTTTTGTTTTTTTTTCATTTTCTTTAGTCTCTGGAACTTTGGGAAGTGGCATGAATCACTTATGAGGGGGAGGGTTTTTGATGAACGAGAAGAGATGTGTTTTGAAATGTTGCAAATATAATTCTGCCTAAATAATACACTCCCTGCTTACTCAATAATATACTTCACACTTGAGATGAGCCACCTAGCAGCCCTTCCCTTCACCGCCATGTCGCACTAAGAGGCGAATTTAGGAAGGAGTTTCCATTTTTGTAACTTTCATAACAAAGCCTCTACCAATGCGTTGCATCAGTTTGACCTTGGAGAGCTACGGGCAGAGGTCGAGTGGGGAAGTTTTGTTAGCTATCAACGCAGTTTTGGCAGATCCGAAAAACAAGAAGAAAGAAAGAAGTGCAGAACTGAAAGAGTGAGAAAAGCATATTTCACTTCAATGTGGTTTGACAAATGGAAAACCCCTTTCTGCAGTCACGAGGTCTAGTTATAAAGAAGGATGACCGGTCATTCATCCTCTTACAAGGCACATTTCCTGTCTACTTATGGTTTGAGTAATTTTCTTTTTTTAGGAAGGTACAAAGGTAGAGCAAAAGCTTGAGTTGAGGAAAGCAGACCTAGGCACCATTTGAAAAAAAGTTTATATTGACTGATTTGCCAAACGGTCTTTTTTTTTTTTGGCTGCATTGGGTCTTCGTTGCTGCACGCAGGCTTTCTCTAGTTGCGGTGAGCCAGGGCTACTCTTCATTGTGGTGCGCGGGCTTCTCGTTGCAGTGGCTTCTCTTGTTGTAGAGCACGAGCTCCAGGCATGCAGACTTCAGTAGTTGTGGCACGCGGGCTTCAGTAGTTGTGGCTCGTGGACTCTAGAGCGCAGGCTTAGTAGTTGTGGCGCGTGGGCTTAGTTGCTCTGTGGCATGTGGGATCTTCCCGGACCAGGGCTCGAACCCATGTCCCCTGCACTAGCAGGCGGATTCTTAACCACTGCGCCACAAGGGAAGTCAGGACTTGGGCAGAAAGAGATATTACGAGATGGTGTGATTATCCTCCACGAGCTGTGGTCAGCAGAGCCACGACAAGTCTCAGTGGGAATGGAATTTGCTTTATGTAAGCTGCTTGGCTCATGACTGGCTTGTAGATGAACAGGAATATCTACTCTCCTTCATTTGGCCTGGGCGGTTAGGGCAATAATAGGTGACTGCTACATACTAATGGGCTCAGCTACATCCTAAAGATGGACTTAACTTTTTATCCAGACCAAAGGGCCCTGTTTAAGTGGAGCGGGGTCTAGACAATAATAAAGGAGCTATAATTTTCAAAGGGAAAAGTGTGCGATTTGGGAACCCAGAAAATGCTTTTTAGGAACAACTTTATTGCATAAATTACTCTATCATCATGGGTGTACTTGTCAAAATCACTAGCAGCATCTGAGAAAGCTTTAGAATCATTTCGGGACATAAGTAGACATGGTAATTCAGCTTTCTGGAGGAACAGATCTTTATTAATTTGCATACATACAATTATTACTTTAGGGTTACTTTAGGGGAGAACATTCTAGAGTGTTCATCCCTAAAATAATACATCCTCAAATTCCTTAAGTTAAAATACAGAGGAGAATTTAAGTATGATAGTAAACCTTAATATTGCACAGGGTCCGAGTTGCTCCTGGTTCTTTGCACTTTATTATTTTTTTCTTTGCACTTTAATTCTCCTAGGCTTTAGTTCGATTTTCACAGTGTGGTAGAAGCCAGGGATGGCAGTATGTCTGTGTAACAAGAAGATTTCTCTTCTGATGTTAGTGATACTTCCCTAACAAACAGTATGGATTAATAGGATACATCTGTAGACTTTTGAAAATATTTGGCATATACTCACTCATTCTGAAATGCAGGAAATAAAGAAATATTACATTGCCTGTATCTCAAAGAACAAACAGAACTAATTAAATAATTGGTAAATAGGGAACACATAGCCTGACACATGTTTGAGATTACACACATGATTCTGTAGAAAATGACTGTAAGCAATACTAATGCCGTAAGAATGGGGTTCAAGCACTAACACATGGACATCACATTTTTCAAGTTTTCTTGGTGAAAAGTTGCAAGGCAATGCAGTCTTTTCATAAATGGCGTTGATGTCTTAGGAAGTGGCTTTTTCAGTTCAGAGGAAGATCATTGCTCCCTCTCTCAGTTTCATGTTATACCGTGTCTTCCTGGCAGTCAGTGATTGTCCTCAACCAGTGACAGGACAACAAAATGCATGTGGAGTGAGATGTAAGCTCCAGAATCATCAGAGGGTAACCTCTCTGGAAACATGCTCCTTTGCCTCCGGCTCTGTCCTCTGCATCTGAAAGATGGAAGATGCTCACTGAGGTTCAGGATGGCTGTGTTTGACTTGGAGGGATAGCCGTTGTTTCTTGTTTTGTTTTCTTTTGCCCTTTAATGCCCAATATCATTTTTTGAGAAATGCTTGGAAGGACAAAGCTGACTCAGATTTTATTAACGACAGGATTTTCTTTTTTTCTTTTTGCGGTACGCGGGCCTCTCACTGTTGTGGCCTCTCCCGTTGCGGAGCACAGGCTCCGGACGCGCAGGCTCAGCGGCCATGGCTCACGGGCCCAGCCGCTCTGCGGCATGTGGAATCTTCCCGGACCGGGGCAGGAACCCGTATCCCCTGCATCGGCAGGCGGACGCTCAACCACTGCGCCACCAGGGAAGCCCATCGACAGGATTTTTTTAAAGTGACACATTCATCCATGGATTTTTGAAAGAATCGTACAGTAAAATATTTTACTTGTGGCATGTAGACCACTACTTTTCTGCGAAGCCTTGCCAGCAAACTCCGGAGGTTGCATTAGGCATGTCTGACTTAGAAGGGTCTGTTTAGCACCCTGAAATTACATGAATATAGTGCATGGAACACACCGTGGATTCTTAGTCGTTCACCTGATGGGGCAGCCAGTTAAGGATAGAAGCTAAGTCTGAGGGCTTCAAGAGTTACCACCATCAGAGCCTTTCAACTTCATTCCTAAAACTCTTTCAGTGTAATGCTGCTCAGTGTACTTTAGAATCACTACAGTCCAATAATGCCTCTGCATGTGAGCATGCATACAGAGGAGGAAATGTACTTAGTTATTAGATACCAGCTCTAGAGGAGAGAGATGTCTAGAAGATGGTAGTCATATACATGGTACATGTAGGTACGTACTGTCTGCATATTTCCTTCCTACCTGCCTTATCCAATAGCCCTTCCTATTCAAAAGGGTTGAGAGACCCACCTCAATCCCCTGAGACTAACACAATCCCCTTAGACTACCCAAGGACAAGAGCGCTTCAGTTACCCACTGGGAGATACCATTTGTATACATTCAGAGGGTGTGAGCGCTTGTGGTTTGGGGCTACACACCCTCCCTTCTTCTCAGAGGGAATTGGGCATAGAGCTAGCATAATGGTTATAATAACTGTTATTGTTTTATTAGTCTTTAACCGGCCTGCTTTCTAAAGCATGGTATTTGCCATGTTTTTAAACCTCAAACCAAACAGTGTTGAAGGAACAGACTTCCAAGATTGATTGAATGCAACATATGCTAAAGATTACCCTGGAATATCTATCTGGTTCATGGATTAATCTGGCTTCCAACTTTCACTTCTAATGACATGTTTGTATGACACGATGCGTTTTAGTATGTGGCTTTTCTAGTAGAAACATTATGTCCGTTTCCCCTTGAGGACTTGGTTTCACAGTAATTTTATTATGAGAGTAGTCACATAAGATTCACTTTGTCTTTTACAAGAATCTTGAGCCTTCAAATACAGTTGGGTGATGAACAGGCCCAGAGCCTAAGAGTAACAGGAATTTTATCCAGCAGTGTCGTGGCATCTTAGTTACAAAGACCACCAACGGAGAACAATAAACTAGTTTGATTTAAGTCTTCTCATCCGTTTCCTGCGCATGGTCAGGGGGCCCAGCTTCCCCCCTGAATTCCTAGGAATCCCTCCTGCTAAAAATGAGTACGTCGTAGCCTAGATGTAAGTTTTTATTCTAAAATTGTAGGTCGTAGGAAGGCTGGAAATGCTCCTTCTTTTGTTATCTTTGTAGAGAATCTCATGACATTGTTAGGCTGCTTCTTCTAGTTTAAGAACATGAGGGTCACTTGGACACAGTTCAGAAAAACTTAAGCTTTTAAAACCATCATCTTCTTTCAGACAAAGGCACTATGAATTGCACCTCTTCATCCTTTTATATCTTCAGGATGTGCCCAGCCTGGGATTCTGGGTGTGCAGTAAAGGGGTAACACATCTTCCAAATTCTGGTTTACAGCAGTCAATCCCCAGACACTACTCATCCTGATGTTTGGATTAGGGTATGTCTAATGGAAATTGCCATTTTCCCCAAAGTGGAGTTTGAGACCGAGGGTGGTCCCACCTGTAGCTGAAAAGACTAAACCCTTCTTTTTGCTCCATCTTCTAGCCAGCAATAGCACCTGTGTTCAAGCCATATGAATAATGCTTGGGTGGCTGGCAGTGTCAAATCCTCCTACAAAATTACAGTTCCTCTTAATAACTTCTCATCTTCCATTCATATTTATGTTACAGCTCTACTTAGAGACTTGATTTTTTTTTTTTCTTTTGAGCTAGAGAAACTGATAAGAGCTAAAATAACACGAGAAATCCATCCAGTCTTTACCAAGCAGGGCGGCAATAGTTTTTCTCTTTATTTCTGTTATCTGGGCATTTTGGTAATTTCTGATAATATCAGTTGACAAAAACTCAGGCCTGGAATAGTAATCAAGTCCTGTTACATTGAAGGTGGGAAAGTGGATTTGATGAGCACACATTTAATGAGGAGTGTAGTTTGCTAAACATGACCCGTTTCTTCAATATAGAAGAAATTTTGCTATTTGAGAATTAAATATATATTCACTTTCTGATTATTTATGCCCTTTCGCATAACAGGCACACAACTACAAAGAAATCTTCAGGAGAAGGACCCATGTAGCTGAACATGTTTAGGGACTCTTGAAAATGTGTCTTCTCCAGTGTTTCCTGGAACAGAACAAAAGGCATTCCAAGTGAAAGGGCAAACTGGTCCCAATAAACTGCTTTGAAATTTAAGCCCTGGGGGTGGTTCTCCAGCTGTTGCAAGGTAGAATGGCTGGCTGTATGTTAAAAAATAGTCTGCTCTTATCAGTGGCTTCCATGAGCAGCCTTTGTAGTTTTCTGAAACATTTTCATGACAACATAATGTAAGGCGCTAAATCCTGTCTTTCTGTTATACTTCCTGAGTTCTAACATCTCCCTGTATAAAACAGGCACTAATAGAAAGTTTAGTTAGAAAGGTGTAGTATGAAAAGGTCGTAAGGATTGTATCTTATCTCTTCTAAAGTATGATTTTTATGCCCTATATAATTTATTTTTGGATTAGGCATATTCATTTTTTCTTTTTTTTTTTTTTTTTTTTTTTTTTTTTACAGTAGGTCCTTGTTGGTTATCTATTTTAAATATAGCAGGGTGTACATGTCAATCCCATACTCCCAATGTAAAAAGAAAAGAGATGCAAATGAACTTATTTACAAAACAGGAACAGACTCACAGATTTAGACAATGAATTTATGGTTACCAGAGAGGGAAGGGTGGGAGGAAGGGATAAATTGAGAGTATACTTTATTTTTTAAATGTCTCTAAAATATTTTTATTGGTTTTTAATTCTTTCCGTTTGGTTTCACGAAAGTATATTTTAAAACACTTATTATTCTCATTTTAAAGCTGTTCAAAGAATTAATCTTTTGAAAGCTACTACAGCAGCAAATTTTATCCATAACAATATCTTATCCTATTTGAGTTTAGTTTCTTTGTTAGGTAATGTAATTTTTTTCTCTTGTGGCTCTGAGTTTTCATTTCATGAAGATCTGTTTTCTAGTCAAGCAGATATCACAAATTATTTTGACTGATAAATCTAATTTTAAGTATATATGATAATATTGCTTCTGGGGGGGGGAAGAAAAACAAATATATACGTATAATTGCCCCCAGATACCATGGTAATACATGCTAAAAAATGTTAGTGCTCTTTGTGTTTTCAAAATCTTTATTATTTTCTCTTTAGAATTGTCTTAAGTTTTAAAAGAACTCCTTGATGCAGAAATTTTTATTTTCACACCAGATATAATTTCAGTTATCTCTTATATTAAGTATTTTTAGCACTCTTGATCTCTGAGTTCCTTCCACTAGCTGAATTGTATGATGTCAGACCCTCATTTCAAAGAACTTTCTTATACATAAATTCCTTAGTACTAGCAACTAATATATTTTTATTATTATGAATTTGTGATAAGAATAAGAATAGGTTTGTTTTGTCAGAAGGTGATTGTGTTCTTTGTATCACATACCAGTTTTCTTTCAGTTTTAGTAATTAACAAATGAATGTGGGTGTGAGTTTTGTTAACCAAATAAAGCACACATCAAAAGATTATCGAACTATCATACCTAACATATAAATATGTAAAAATAACAAGCATAATTTAACTATGCTAAGCAGAGGTCAGGATAAGCTAGAGACGAAGATAATTTGACCACTTGCGATCTGATCCCGCAACTGTATTTTACAGATCTGGAAGCTGAAGATGTCACATTTGCCAGAAGGGTTGCTTTCTTGGGTTGAGGATGGGGCTGGGAATTTTTCTTAAGTTTTAAATGTGTAATGAAGTTTTGCTTGGGTTAATCAGTTGATTTAAGATTTCCTTTTCTTATTTCACAAAATAGTGAGAAACATCTTCTCCTGGAGCTTAATAGGTTTTATTTAAATATTATATCTATTTGCTTATGCTGAGGCCTTAATAAATGTAAAAGAAGACCACCACTGGCTATACCATTTTATAAAGGCAAATTACTTCCAAAAGACACTTGTTAGATAGAGCTGGCTTCGAATTATATACCAGAACCTATATGCCTTTATTAACAGTACAGTCATCCTTCAGTATCCTTCCAGCAGATTGGTTCCAGGACCGCCCAACAGATACCAAAATCTGAGGACACTGAAGTCCCTTTATAAAAGGGCACAGTATATGCATATAACCCTTGCACGTCCTCTCATATGCTTTAAGTCATCTCTAGATTATTTATAATACCTAATACAATATAAATGCTCTGTAAATAGTTGCCACTAACAACAAATTCAAGTTTTGCTTTTTGGAACTGTATGGAATTTTTTTTTTTTTCTGAAGATTTTTGATCCGAGGTTAGTTAAATCCTTGGATGCTGAATCTGTGGATACAGAAGGCTGACTGTACTCTTTGTTCATCTATTTTGTAGGTAGAAACACCAGTGTTTAAGATAATAGAGATTGCTTCATCATCATGTGGACTGACTTTATCTCCAGAATTTGAGACAGCATTGACTTTTAGTAGCTAAGGGTTCAAATTCTTTAAATGTGAACACAGACTTAAAATATGTGGAGAATATATGTTACTTAAAATATTAAAAATATTTTCCCTCCTAGGAAGGCAGGCCTGTTATACATTTTTTTGTTTTATTTTGTTTATTGTGGAACTCTGAGAGGAGTATCTCATTTTGCTGTATAGTAAAAAAAAAAAAAGGTTTTTTTAAATTTGAAAGCAGATGTAAATCATTCCTGAAGATAATTTAGTTTACTATATAAAATATAAAGAAAAGGCAAATTCTGAGGATTTCAGGGACCTGAAAGTACGGCACACTTTTTAGCAATGACCATCATATGCTCACCTGCTACTGTTCACCACCAACCACTCATATACAACCAGGGGGAATGTAATAGCAACTAAAACACTTTATCTTTAAACCAGGGTGTCAGGTTTGTATTTTATCTGTAAAAAAATGTAACATGAATATATTTGACATCTACCTCAGCAAACAAATTAATGCTAATTAAAGATTAATGTGTTGTAATTAGCATTAAAAATGCAATTAAATTGTGAGTAAATGGACCAGGAATAGAAAATCATTTGGCGTCTCACTGCCTGGTTTTTCATATTCTGCCTTTTGTTTTTGCAGCAAATAGAGGAAGCGGAGCAGCAGGCAGCTCCCAGACTGGAGATGCTCTGGGGAAAGCACTTGCTTCGGTGAGGAAATATTGACTTTGGACTTCATATGTACCATGGCAGAAGGGTGAACTTGAATCAGAAGTGGACATTTAGAATTTTAGAAAATGGATGGCAAATAGCTTTGATTTTTGGAAAGGCTAGCTTCCTTGCATAATGATCATTGGAAAACTTGAGGAGAGAACTCTGAAGATTCCAGCGGATGGCTGGTCTTCCCTCTTGCCTCCTCTGCTTCCCGGTACTCAATCGTGGATTGGTGGATATTCTCAGGGCCTTTAAGAGGATAGATTTTCTATCTTGATGTCTTATTTTCTTCTGAAGTCGTTTGGGTACTCGCTGATTGACTGACTTTGCCAAGGGGTAATTCCAAAACACTTTGCAAAAGGCATTTCAGAAAAATGACCATAACTGAGACCCGGGAGAAATTGTCACATAATTGGCACTCAGCTTCTCCGCTTTGCCCGCCCACTGCCTAGAGGCTAGAATCCAGCATTCCTTGCATGTTCACTAGTGACAGATGGCACCCTTCCTTGTCTGAAGGAGTGTACCTGGTACGGTCTTCAAAAGCTGAATGTGATCATTTGTAAATGTAAGTGGAGACTTGCTCTAACGTTTTGTCTCTTCAGTTGGTTTTTCCTTACCAATGGGGGCAGAGATGAGTTTGACTTATATTAGCATTGTGACCTAAGGAAAAGTTTTTCTTCAGTCTGAGCATTCTTATGCCTTGGAATCACATGCCTTAAACATAATGCAGAAGGGGTTGGACAAAAATCTTAGAGATGATGCTGTCCAACCTCCTGTTGTATGGAGGAGGGAAAGGGAGGTTTGGAGTATCTGTGTAGGTTGATGGCCACACAGCCATGGGAGGACATGGGAGGAAATGGACAAGAACTAAAGTCGGCTGACCCCAGTCTGGTTCTTTTCCCACTATCTTATACCACCTCAATAGCTCTTCTATTGAAAAATCAATTAAGTTTTTCATTTTAGAATATTGGTACTACAATTGATCGTTGAATGTATTGTGTACCTTGGAATTTGTAAATGAATTGCATTGACACTTTGTAGTTTAAAATTGTTGAATATTTATTCCCAATGAATGAGGGTTTGTTTATTTTTTTTCTCCCCACTGTTTTAAGATCTATTCTCCAGATCACACTAACAACAGCTTTTCATCAAACCCTTCAACTCCTGTTGGCTCTCCCCCGTCTCTGTCAGGTACAGTACCATAAATCCACTGCATCCGAGTGTCAGTTTATGGCATGGTTTCCCCCTTACACTTCCTGTGCTACTAGGTGGAAACTCACTCCCTCCAAAAGCTCAAAACAGAGCATTTCTGGACAAATAGGAAGAGGTGGGAGAGACAGACTGCCCTACGATGGTGAAGTCATTTACATCCAAAACTTTTCTTTAAAATTACATGTTTTTAGAAATACAGGCATGTGGGAAACTTCCTTCTTAAACTTTTCTTGGCTCTGTAGAAGATACTGCACAGAATAATATACTCCAAGAAAACATCTCAATGAGAAAACCCAGTTCACATCGTCATGAATAGGAATATAGATTATGTAGTCATCAAATATAGACTGTTCAAAAGGATCATTTCCCACAGAAATTTTAGACTTTTCAGATCCCCTCTTTAAAGTCCTTGTTACTGGAATGGTTGAAGAAAACTATAATTGTGTAAATAAATTGTGATGTAGCTGTGGAGTAAAAGGGGATGTTTTGCCATTTAATAGAACAAATTTAACATGACCTGTGGCTTCAAATAATAACATTATAAGTTGTTAAATTGTGTTAGTAAAGCATTGCACTTTTCGGAGCTCCATTTTAAAGGCGCATTGCCTTTCCAGTATAAATGCTTCCAGAAAGGCCTTGTCTGGTACATGTCTCTTCTCTTTGGAAAGAGGACAGGTGGCTTCTTAAAAACAAACAAACAAACAAACAAACAAAAAAAACGAAATCACATCTGTACCTGATTGAAACCTGACCTTACTGTAATTTAGACTGGAGTCACTTGCCTGAATGCCGCCACCTCCATCTCTGTATTATTCCCTGCATGCAGCACTCACATGGCCCCTCATAACGTGGGTTGCCTGGTAAAGAGTGGGAGGTTTCAGATGGCCACAAAGCTTTCAGAGTGGCTTAGGTGAGACTTCATATCAGCCTTTTCCAAGCCTCCATTGACACCAGGGGGTCACAGAATAGAGAGGGAAATAGCTTGGACCTTTTAGTTCATATCTCCAGAGAGATAATGTTGAAACCGGGAAGAGCCAGAGATGACATAGAAGATAATGGAGCAGCAAGGAAATACTCCCCATGACAGAAAAGTCAAGTTCAGAATTGTTGTACACTTCCGGCTCAGTACCATATTGTTAGGCTCTGGAAAATGATCACAGGTGTCAATGTCCAGAGCCAGAGAAGGCTTGAGACAACACGGAGCCCAGTGAGGCCAGGGATGAGGGAGTCTGGACAGGGAGAACTCCCAAGTTCCCCATTTCAAACAAAGCAGCTCTGATTTCATCCATTTTATAATTTGGAAAAAAGAATATTCTAGAAGCTAATAAAGTTTGAGAACAGCTGTTTGAGTTGAATGCTCTGATTTACAGATGGACATACGAAGGCCCAGAAAGAGTATGGGATTTGCTGAGGATCCATCAGTAGCAATATCAGAGCTCAGGCTGGAATCCAGGGCTCACCACTCTGTCACTCCACTTCCAGCTTAAGGATGGGAGGGGAAAGTTACGGTGAACAAATCATTCCAGAAGATGCCACAAATCCCCCAAACTGAGGAGCATGCTTTATGTGGAAGACACTGAAACAAGGCCACTTTTGGGGTGCTGGTAATCCATCCTGGAAGAGCACATGTTAGGAAGAAAGAACTTTATGAAGATATAAATATGGGGATAGACTGCTATTTTCACACCAATGGCTCTGTCCAGATTCTGTCACTAAAAGTAATTGAACGAAATATTCTATTTTTATTTAGCATAAAAATACACACACATGCACACCCAGAAATGGCAGGAAGAATGGATTTTTAAAGTGCTAACAGTGTCGGAGCATGAGATTTCAGTGAGATCATAGATTTTTTTCCCCTTTCTTGAATTTTTTTATTTTCTAAGTTTTCTACATGGAGTGTGTATTATTTTAAATTTAAAAGTGGTTTTTATTTTGAAAGTGGTAGGTTAGACGTGTTATATTTATTATAGCAGGAATCTTTCTTTAAGTATAAGTGAATCATTAAAAACGTGTTTTCTTGGGAAGAAATTATTTAATGTTGTTATATTGAGTGTTTAAAGTCCTGGTTTAGTGGATCGCTGCCAGCTAATCTTATTTCCTTGAAAAGTTTCTGAAGGCTTATCCTTTCTTAAAGATCATTTAAAAAACAAGTAGCAGAGCTGCTTTTCATTGGTGAGAGAATTTTGGTTTAACAAACTGGCTTTGCATGAGGGTGTAGTGAAAGCCCCTCTTTGCACTCTTAAAAGTACCTTGACTGTGTATGATAGTTTTCTATCAAAGGGACATTTCTCTAGCTAAAATTCAGAATCATTTAAGTGTTCCCTTTTAGGAGGAAGCCTGAGAGGATTCTGAGTCCATGTACAGTCTACATGTTTTACATTTAAAATGTTTTCCTTGCCCCCAAATTCTTGTATGGGAAGTTTACGTGTATTTCCCTGTTGTCCAAGTAGAAATCAACATTGCTAATTTTTATAAGAACTGTTTAAAATGTTGGTAAGATTATTTTTAAGATTATACGGATCTCATTGTAATTCCCATTTTCATATCAGCAGGCACAGCTGTTTGGTCTAGAAATGGAGGACAGGCTTCATCATCTCCTAATTATGAAGGACCCTTACACTCTTTGGTAAGTTTCATCTGCACATCTTCACTCTGGCCTTTCTTTTTTTTTTAAGATTTTTTTTGATGTGGACCATTTTTAAAGTCTTCTTCATTGAATTTGTTACAATATTGCTTCTGTTTTACGTTTTGGTTTTTTGGCCACAAGGCATGTGGGATCTTAGCTCCCCGGCCAGAGATCGAACCCACACCCCCTTCATTGGAAGGTGAAGTCTTAACCACTGGACCACCAGGGAAGTCCCCACTCTGGCCATTCTCAGGCCATGTGTCTCTTTTACCATCGAGTTCACTCTCCAAGGTTCTTATTTTCACGTCAAGTAAGCCCGCGCGTTTGGTTAGAGCCAGAGTTATTAGATGGTGCTTGTTCCTGTTTATAGATTGTAACCCAGATACTACTACAGTGGAAGCCTCAGGGCTCTAAATATCTAGAACCAGGTAAGAGATTAAGAATCTTGGAAGGATCATGGCCTCCTCCCCTTGTGAGAGGAAGATGTGCATCAATGATTAGATGCCTCTCCTGACATGAGAGTGCTGGAGTTCCAACTATGCTGTGGAGCCGGAACACTTGGAGAGTCTACATCTCTGTGCTTTGCTTTCCAGAATAACAGGTTTATAGGCGTGTTCTTCTTGACCTCTGAATAAGAAGCCTACTGCTTATTTCCTCATTCACTTTGATTCTCGTGGAAATCTAGTAATTTCATTAAATCTCTCTTGTAGGGAATAGCTGAAAATTTTCCCTTGGTGTAATTAATATTATCACATGATGATTCAGTGTTTGACACTCAGCTTACGTGGAAGGGGCTGGAAACACGCATGAAGCAACACTGCTCTATGCACTGTCTGGTCTGTAAATGAGTCAGATGGGGAGGGGTAGCAGCAAGGAGCTGTCCTTCAAGGTTGAGTTTCCCTTTTTCTCTGCATATTTTGAGATGGAACATGGAAGTAGGCATAGATCAATGTATCTATCTATCTATCTATCTATCTATCTGTCTATCTTTATGTTGTCTTGTCAGCCGTTCAGGGTTTCCTTTCTTCCTTTTGGCTAACAACTTAAATTAAGGAAAATCTAAAAATGCAGATACAAAGGTGGATTTCCCCTTCACTGTGCTTTTCCATGCTGTCGTGTGTAAATCGGCCACCTCCACATTTTAGCCAATAAGGTGTCCACAGATTGAGACAGTGTAAGTAAGCACTGCCTACATAAGCCCCATGAATCTACAGCCCACATCCAAATAAGCCATCGTTCTTTTAAGTGTTTCCTTCCATTAGTCAGTCTCTGGGACCCATCGATCAAAACTGGTTTTTTTCCAACTCTAGAGCTGTAAAGACTAGGTTTATAGTTGTGAACGGCAGCTTTAATCCTCTTTGAATTCTGAACACTCAAGAGGGGATTCCCATGCAGAAACTGCTCTCCACCCAGAAGCTGTGAGCCAGAAAGGATGATAAGCACGTGTGTTATTTCTTTTTGTGCTCACACTTACACTTGGAAGTGTATATCATCATTCCTATTTTTATAAATTAAGAAGTATAGACTCAAAGAAGTTTAGTCACTTTTCCAAGGTCATATAAGCAGCAGAGCTAGGAGTTTAAAGGAGGCCCCTTAACACCAAAGCCCACCAAATCAGAAGGCTCTGTACCCTACACTGACTGTATTAGACACACGTTCTTTCTGTTAGTAGGGAATAATTAGAAATTGTTTTTCTCATGCAGGAGAGAGCTGGTGTATCTGTTTGCACAGCCCATTGGAAATCAAAGTGGATTGTAGCATGATCCGGTACAAAGAGGCACTAGATTTGAAGACTTAGATTGTAACCCTGACTTTACCATTTCCTGGCAGTGTGACATTGAATAATTAATTCACTTAATTTCTTTGAGCCTCATTTGCACGTCTATAAGGAAGGGATAATAATGTCTTCGCTGCTTGCTTACACATGTAGAGTGAGGATCCAGTGAGACGGTATATTTTAAAGTGCACCCTGGAGATGTTTGTTTGATATCATTATTGATCACACTGAAAAAAATGAATACACATCTCCGTGTCCAACTTCTTCACCAAAAACTATCCATATAGGCTGTATCCAGTTGTGGAAAACTAGAATCCTAATGGCTGGGGTGAAAAAAAGATCAGCTGGTTTTTCATTTTATAAGGTAGTGAATTCTCTACTATAGTAAGGGCTTTGAAATCAATTAGAAGCCCCCAAGCCCCCGGTGAACAATTCATTCAAGTCTTTATGATTCTTCAGTCTTGAAATCTCCTACCACTTTGGTTGACAGAATTTTTGCGATGTTTTTCTTTAACCGTTTTGAGGCTCCTGTTCCCTTTACACACACACACACACACACACACACACACACACACACACACAAGCTGGTGATGGTAGCTAGAAAGCAAGAAACACAGTAAAAATTGTTAGTACTCGATAAGAAATTACAGTCTGTACGCATTTACCTGTCCCTGACTTGATACATAACACTATATCATATGGCACAGAGGAAACCCAGGAGATATGTCCTTAAGAAGATAATTTAATTGGGAAACTATAAATGGGTCACCTTTCCATTGTTAACTTTTTGAAATCTTTAACAAATGCCTGCCAGAACGTTCCTTAAATTCAATAAATGTTTCTTCTGAAGTAAATCTAAATTCTCTTTCGAAGTTATGCAATATAATGTAGCATGTGTACTAACAATGTCCTGGAAGAATTACTGAATTTGTTCACAAAAAATTACACTATAATTATAGCATTAACAATTTTCACCAGTTTTCTAGGAAGGTCACTATTTATTTTTATTATAATTTTAAGGAAATAAACTTTACTGGAAACATATATTCAGAGACCCAAAGTGTGATTCGTGTCAACTCAGGTTTTATTTATATAACCTACACACGAATTTCGAACTAAATCAAATTTCACATCATTTATTAACCAACAGCAAAGCCGAATTGAAGATCGTTTAGAAAGACTGGACGATGCTATTCATGTTCTCCGGAATCATGCCGTGGGCCCGTCCACAGCCATGCCTGGTGGTCATGGGGACATGCACGGAATCATTGGACCGGCTCATAATGGAGCAATGGGTGGTCTGGCCTCAGGGTATGGAACCGGTCTTCTTTCTGCCAACAGACATTCACTCATGGTAAGTGACTAAATTTAGGGACTCTAGTTATCTTATAGAATTAGAATTTCTAGTACAAATACTACTGCTGCAGTTTTTTCTTTTGTAAACAGCTTTATTGAGATGTAATTTATTTAACCTACAATTCACCCCTTTCACTTTTACAATGTACTGTGTTCTACATATATTCTCAGGGTTATGCCATCAGCACCAGAGTCTAATTTTAGAACATCTTTGACCCCTACAAAAAGAAAAGAAATCCACATGCCCTTTAGCAGTCACTCTCCATCCTTCCCTCCCCCTAGCCCCTGGCAACTACTAACCTACTTTCTGTCTCTGTAGATTTGTCTAGTCTAGATATTTCCTATAAATGGAATCCCACAGTATGTGGTGGTCTTTTCTGACTGACTTATTTCACTTAGCATAATGTTTTCAGGGTTTATGTATGTTTTATCATTTATCAGAGCATCATTCATTTTTATTCCCCAAAAGATTCCATTGTATAGCTATACGTTAAGTATCCATTCATCAGGTGATGGATATTTGGGTTACTTCCAGTCTTTGGCTCTTAGGAATAATGCTCCTGTGAGCATTCATGTACTAGTTTTTGTGTGGACATAGGTTTTCATTTCACTTAAGTATAAGCCTAGGAGATCATTGCAGGGTCATTGCTGGTGTGTTCAAATCTTCAGTTTGGGGACTTCAGCTAAAGATCCCAATGTTCATGTGACGTTGCTGGCATTTCACATGTGAATAGGTTGGATTTTTTAAGTTATTATTAAATGAAAGCCAAATCAGTGTCTTTAGCTTCTGAGTACGCTGTGGGAGGCAGAAATATATGGTGCGTCTGTCTAAACAGGTGATGTGGCACCACGTAATTTCACTATATCGTAGTTTTACCACTACCTATTTACGAATGTGTTTATTTGAATAATAATTAAGCAGATTTGTCCATATTACAATTGAAATTTCAATTTTGCCACTTACTTTTGGAAAGGACTTGGGAGTGCATTCTTTCTTGGATGATTACAAAGATTCAGCAAATCTCCCTAACAAAATGTTAAGTGATGACAGTTAATGAAGTGACCATATGGGTGGGGAATTTCATATTACTAGTGATTCTGTGTAATTCTGCTCTTTACAAACTCCTGACCAGAGAACACCTTAGTGTCCTGTTTTGTGCCTTACAGGCTCTCAGAAAGTTGCGTGTATGAAGGTCTATTTTCCATTATCACTAGAGCATCTCTTACTTAAAGATGATTCCAAAAGGAGAATGCAAAAGAAGTACAGATTATTCTGAGGCTCTTTAAGTTCTTTTCTCGTTCAGAAGTATTCTTCTGCCCTCCTTTGCATTTCTCTTAATAAAAGATTAAGAGTCCCATCCTGAGCGGTATGTTATGGAAACCTGCAACCAATTTGAAACCAAAAATACTGGTTTATAAATAGAAGCAGTGAACTCACTTCTAAAACGTGGAAAGGTATTTTTGAATGCCAAAGCTAAATCTTTTTTTTTTTTCTTTTTTCGCTTTTCGTAGACTCTACCCTAAAAATTCCTCATTGAGTAAAAAGTGTTTGTCTATTCATGGCAGTTGCTAAGAGTTTACAAAAGGAAAATCTAGATTTTAATTTAGCTTGGCCTCAGGTAATGTGCTAAATACACTTGGGATGCATATAATATGAGATTTTAGTTTGTACAGCTTTTTTTTTAAACTACAATGTTTAAACAATACTGCTTTTAATTAAGGAATCTGGCTTTATTAAAAGCCAGATCTGTGACTTACAACCATTTCTGTATATCTGCTCTCAATCAAGAGAAAAATACTTTAATTTCTGTAGCTGTGTTCGTTTTGCATATGTTAAACGGATGCAACGTGCACCCAGGACGTTGCTTCAGAGACAGGTTTTTATTTTTCCATAAATATGTAAAGTTTGCTCTTAAATACCAGATGTAGGTTAAGTGGTTCTTTAAAATAATAAACTATACAGAGATGTTTTCTGGAACCTTTTATTTGACCTTTGACTTGCCTCCTCTTTGAGTTTGATTCAGAGGTGGGATAGGAGGAAGAGACTAGACTCATCTTTGGAGATGGGAAGTGGGACTGACCCAGGTGGAGGGGGAGGGGAGAGAATGAACAGAGCAATAGAAAAGGGGAAATCATCGGCCCATATTACACAGCAACGTCTTTAATTATTTTGGAAGAAACGATGCCGAAGCAGTAAAACTGCTAGTTTTGCTGAAGAGGAAAAGTGCTCACTCACTCTCCTGAAGACATTTCTAATTCAGTCAAGGGTGACGGCCGAGCCAACCAGATCATAGAGTAACTCCAAAGCCATGGCAGGACAACCTGCTGCCCTTTGAAGCCGACGGAGGCCTAGCAGTCTTTCTCCTTTTTTCTCAAAAACATTCAGGGCGCCCAGTGCATCTGAGCTCCTCGGCCCAAAACCCCAACGTGTGCACAAGAGATCGGATCCTCATTTCTTGCCTTGCGCAAACTGGTATGACTTTTCAAACAAAAACATCAGAACAAAGGAAATAGTTTTTGAATTTAGTCAGTCTGAAGTTAGCCTTTGACCATTTGATACATTCCACAATAAAAAGGAAGCTGAAGGGGAAGGGAAAAACCCACCCCCCTTCCTCCCCCCAGCAACAACAAAAAAAATTCAAGGAGGATACTGGTAATGTTTTCCACATTTGAATTTTAATACATGAAACAGGCCATAAAACGTTGGCCAGCTGCAGTAAATAAAGTAGCAGTGGGAGGTACACACTGGAAACGTCGGACCAGCGCTGGTGGGAGTTTCATTCCCAGCTACACACCTTCAGTTGTTGTTCTGGAGTGTAAGCGAGTTGCAGTAACTTAACACCCATCCCAGGGCTGGTTTTGTTTTGAGCCAATCTCCTTTATAACTCTCCTTAATAATTCCTTCTGATTAAAGAACAGATAGCTTTGAATTCTCTTGACCTCCGTCTCTCCTTGTTTCCTCTCTCCCTGCCTTCCAAAATCAAAACGAAATGGCTTGATCACTTGGAAGATGATAGAAGCATTTCTTTCTGCAGCAGCTTGCAATCGTGGTGGGGAGAACCGTGGTTCTGCCTGGGCCGTTATGTTATCTCATTTAATTGCTAACATATTGTACTTAGCTTTTGATTCATAAAATGTTTTCCTTGGAGTTCTGAAGTAGGTCTTCAGTAAATGACTAAGTATTAGTATAATGAAAGGGATTTTTTTTTTTTTTTTCACAGCAGCATGGCTCATAGCACTCGAGCGAATGTTGATTCTTGTGGGCTTTCTAGATGATACTATTTGTCCATGCTCTTTCCTGCTCAGAAACCTTCACCGGCTTTCCATTATCTACAAGATAAAGACATATTTCTTAGCCTAGCTTATTAAGCCCATCACTGTCTACCAAAAGCCTTGTGCTTAGCTCTTCCAATGCAGAAACTTTGCCAGCAAGACCAACCTCTGCATATTACCAGCATTTGCGCTGTGCATTCTCACTAGGTACGTCTTTTGCGTCTATCTGGCTTGTCCTATTCTATCCACTGCTCTTAGCCCATCTCATTCCCACCCATTCTCAAAACTCTCACTCAAATTCTGTCTCTTCCAGGGAACCTTTCCTTGCCACCTCCACCTGTGAGAGTCTTTTTCTTTTCTACTCTCACAGCGCTATGAATCATACCTTTGGCTAGATATTTATTTTACCCACTTAGGCAAAGCTATATATCTTTGGTAGGTCTGACTTTTGCCTTACCAACTAGATTGTCAATTCCTTGAGTACCATGTGTTACATTTTGTTTCCCTCCCAGTAGATAAATCGTCAGTCAAAAGGGAAGAAAGGAAACTCAATATTTTCTGAGTGCCTGACAAGTGGCCAGCCCTTCAGCTAGGAGCTCCATATACCTTATCTCAGGCCATCTTCACAAGAGCCCAGTGAGGATGGTAATGCTTTCCATTTTAGGTGTTGGTCAGATGAGCCTTAGAAGGTTTGAGTGGTCAATATCAAGTCCGGAAGCTAGATTTAAACTCAGGGGACTTTGACTGTAAATTCCATGCTCTGTCTTACCATCATGAGCACTCCTCAGACAGGATCTATAGTTATACCTTTTAAGAGCTAATTTCAGGTGGTTAGAACTCATGATTTTCAAATCTTAACAAATGTTGGTCGACAAGAGAGAAGTTTCTAGGTGTCTTATGGCCAGTTTCCCAAAGCAGCTCCCTACCCACATGGAAAGGTAAAGAACTTTCCTCCAGTATGGTAGTATGCTGGATTAAATCCCACCTTGTCTAAACACTTATTCTTAAATCAACATGTCTGTGCTAAGTGGCAAGAGGTGTGGTGAGTGCTCCTTGCTAGGTGGTTGGAGTAGTTAATTTTAAAACATTAAGTTGTTTTTCTTACCTTAGCCTCCCAGTTTTCTAATGGAATCCAAGCAGAAATTTCGGAATGTGGGAGATTAAAGAAATAGCTGGGGGCTTCCCTGGTGGCGCAGTGGTTGAGAGTCCTCCTGCCGATGCAGGGGATGCGGGTTCGTGCCCCGGTCCGGGAAGATCCCACACGCCGCGGAGCGGCTGGGCCCATGAGCCATGGCCACTGAGCCTGCGCGTCCGGAGCCTGTGCTCCGCAACGGGAGAGGCCACAACAGTGAGAGGCCCACGTACCGCAAAAAAAAAAAATAAAGAAAGAAATAGCTGGGTTTATTACTCACCTGCTTAGAAACTCTTACCCAGGTATCATTCCCCTCTGTGCCTCGGATATCAGTTCTTTTTTTATTTTTATTTTTTTGGCTGCATTGGGTCTTTGTTGCTGCACATGGGCTTTTCTCTAGGCTACTCTTCGTTGCAGTGTGCAGGCTTCTCATTGTGGTGGCTTCTCTTGTTGCGGAGCACAGACTCTAGGCGTGTGGGCTTCAGTAACTGTGGCACGCAGGCTCAGTAGTTGTAGCTCGCGGGGCTCTAGAGCTCAGGCTCTGTAGCTGCGGTGTGCGGGCTTAGTTGCTCTGCGGCATGTGGGATCTTCCC